GCGGCGGGACCAGGCGCCGGCGAAGGAGCGGAAGGGTCTCCCGAAGCCTTCCCCCTGGGCCGGCGCAGCCCTCTTGCCACTCGGAGCCTCTGTTTCAGCATCAGTAAAACGGGGCCGCCACCGGCCAGGAGGGCAGTGAGCGCCGGGCGGATTGTGACCGGGCCCTGTGGGTGCTCTTGGTGGGGAGGCTGGGCCCAGCACCCTGTGGGGTGAAGGGCGCCCGGCCAGGCGTTCCCGCTGCTGACCCACCCAGCCTGGGTCTCGCTGTGGACCCTGGGGAAGGGCATTCAGGGTCAGGGACGCGGGCTGTCAGCACTTTGTATTGGTCCCTGACTGCAGTGAAGGGCGAACAACAGAATCCTAGATTCATGGCCATGCTTCTGAACCAGAGGGGGAAAGGCACTGTTCACAAAACAGGGGAAATGCATTTTTTTTAAAAACACAAACAACATGGGGTAAAAACTAGTTCTTGTGAGCTATTGAGGAGCCGTGCCTGGGAGGCTTCTCGGAGGAGGGTTGGTTGCACGCAGCGGTTCTCAACCTGTGGGTCGGGACCCCTTGGGGGTCGAACGACCCTTTCACAGGGGTCTCCTAAGACCATCGGAAAACACATATATAATTACATATTGTTTTTGTGATTAATCACTATGCTTTAATTATGTTCACTTTGTAACAATAAAATTGGGGGTCACCACAACATGAGGAACTGTGTTAAAGGGTCGCGGCATTAGGAAGGTTGAGAACCACTACACCAGCGAGATGCCCCTGACCAGCCATACCGGGACTTTGTCCCGGAATCAGTTGTGCAAAGGATGAGGGAGGGGAGTGCAGCTGTACCTCATCAGGTAGACTGGCCTCCGGTTCCGTGGGGCGAGCGTCCCGGGGATCCTGGCTGATCTGGGAATGGACTGTTTCACAAGGGAACTTGGTGCCATTTCTAACAGGGGAGGCTTTTCTAGGTATGGGCCCTTGTTTTTGTTGTTTGTGGGGTGTTTTTTTTTGAGTCTTTAAAGGTGTGCATGTTGCCCAAGTTACCGCCCTGCTTGCTCCGAATCTGCACCTCTGCTATCGATCGCCTGCTCTTTCATCTCTTCCTGGCTGTCTGATCTGAGCAGACTTCTTTGTGCTCCTCACTCCCAGAGGCTGAGGTGGGAGCAGGGATGGGAATTTGCTCCATAATCTGTTAAGAGTTCTTTCTCACTGCCCCACGGATAAGAACATCAACTTCTGCTCTCCGCTCTTTCTTAGACATGAGGAGCTGCTGCTTTTTTCTTTCTTTCTTTTTTTTTTTCCCCGGTAAACTTTGTAGATGAAGCACAATGTGTACAAGGCGACAGATTTTCCCACAGTGAACATACGGTGTAGTCCGTTTCCCTCAGAGCACCTGTCCGCCTTTGGGCCAGTTGTGCTGCTGCTTCAAAATGAACCCCCACCCCCACCCCCACTTGTAAGCGGCCACCTGGTTGGAAGAATACTTCCCAAAGGAGCAGTTCTCCTTAGCTCCTGGGAAAGCCGTCCCCACGAAGGCTGTGATGGTGGCATTTGGCTGAGCTGGTGTGTCCTGACAGGCTGGCACTGAGGTTTGGACTGTGCTGGCTGGTCCCCCGGGGTAGTTGTCAAGCCAGACACACCGGGTCCCTCACAGGCAGAATCGCTCTGTCCTCTCAGGAGGGCAGTCCCTGCAGAAGGCTCAGGAAGACCAGTTGGCTCTGGATGCCCTGGATGATGGCCACGGGGATCTGGCTCCAGGCGGCTACACTGTTGCCTGCCCTCCCTGGTCACTGGGGGAGGGGCCTTTGGACTCAAAGGGGCCCTTTCAGCTGGAACCCGTAGCTGTGAGAGGCCCTTTTCACAAGCTGGCTGGGAGAGGCCCCGGCCCTCCAGTCCCAAGCTGGGCTACCTGCAGGGGAGAAGAGCAGCTGCATCAGTGGCCTCTGAAACCCTGGGCATTTGTGTCTGTGTGAGGCCCCCCAGTGCCCCCTGGTCCTCAGGAAAAGGCTCCCTGTGCCTCCCAGTGTCACACTGCCCCAACATGTGTGTGTCTCTCTTCCCCTTATCCCCGAGGGCCTGGGGAGCCCCAGGCTCAGTCCAAGGCCTGTGTTTTCTCCCTCCAGTATGGGCTCCAACTTGGGGGTCTTAGCTCAGGATGGCTGCTCTGCCCTTTATGCCGATGAGGTGGGGGCTACCAGTGTCTGAGAAAGGGCACACCTCAATATGAATGCCCTCAGTCCATGCTGGGGGAGGTCCTGCTGGGTCAGGCCCCATCTGGGAGGGGCTCAGGTGGAAGAACGAGGTGATTGCTGAGAAACCCTCATCCCAGTGAGCTTGCTTCTGGGCAAGTTAAGGCCCAGGGTCCCACAAAATTCCCACTTGGGGCTGTTCTTGTTGCTCAGAGGCCATGTGAGGGTAGTGAGAGGCCAGGAAGGCTGGGGTCCCTCCTCCTGAGAGAAGATGATGGTGTCTTTCCGTTCCCCAGGGCTAGTGAACTCCCACCCCCACTTGTGATAGCCACATGGTTGGAAGAATACTTCCCAAAGAAGGTGCTCAGCTGTGACGAGAGGAAACACTCCCCTGTGGGGAGCCCTTCCCTGAAGTGGCGGGTGGATGGGGCTCCCAGGGCAGGATGGGCATGGCTGTAGGCTTGAGGGTCAGGTGCAGGCAGAAGCCCTGTGAGAGCAGAGCCTGTTCTCTGAGCACTGAGGCTCCTCCAGGAGGCTCACTGGGCAGGAGGGTGGGCTCAGGTTACCAGGCACATTTCTAGGCATCTTCTGGGGTGTCTGCACCAGTGCCCACAGCCACCAGCAGTGTGCACATGTCTGGTTTCCCTCAGCCCAGCAGCAATTTGTTTAAATGTTCATCTTTATTCTTGCTAGCTTAGTAAGTAAATCAAGGTTGTTTAGAGTTTTAATTTGCATTACTTTAATTGTTAATGAGACTACATTTTCCCATGTGCTACACATAAAAAACTAATCAGTGTCTTTAAAAACAAAAGTTAAAACCTTTTGTTTATCTTCAAAACCCCTGTGAGTGGTACTGAGCAGGTCGTGTAATTGCCTGCTTGTCTCTGAAATGCGGGAAAGCATTGACCTGCCTTGGGATGTGGACGAGGAGTGATTTGGGGCCTGTCTCACAACAGCCCAGCAGTGGTCAGCAAACTGCAGCTTGCGAGCCACATGCGGCTCTTTGGCCCCTTGAGTGTGGCTCTTCCACAAAATACCACGTGCGGGTGCGCACATACAGTGCGATTGAAACTTCGTGACCCGTGCACAGAAGTTGGTATTTTGTGGAAGAGCCACACTCAAGGGGCCAAAGAGCCACATGTGGCTCGTGAGCCACAGTTTGCCAACCACTGGCCCAGGGTAAAGGGAGGGCAGCGCCCATGGGAGGTGGACAACCGGGGACCCCCCCACCAGCCTCCATGGCCAAACCCAAAACTGGGTTACTCCAACCAGTGGGCTTTGGGCCCATCAGAGTGTTTGTGCCACACATTGGCCATGGCCTATAGCCACAGGGATGCCAGCCCCCCTGGGGCCATGGAGGCATGGTGTTGGTGGCAGCAGCAGCTCTGAGCTGAGCCTCTCCCCTCTCTTCCAGTGTCTCCAGCATGGTGCTGAAGGCTTTCTTTCCCACGTGCTGTGCCTCAGCAGACAGCGGCCTACTGGTTGGACGCTGGGTCCCCGAGCAGAACAGTGCTGTGGTCCTGGCCGTGGTGCACTTTCCCTTCATCCCCATCCAGGTCAAGGAGCTCTTGGCCCAGGTTCAGCAGGCCAGCGGAGTAGGCGTGGCTGTGCTGGGCACCTGGTGCCACCGTCGGCAGGAGCCCGAGGAGAGCCTGGGCCATTTCTTGGAGGGCTTGGGTGCCATCTTTTCCCACGAGCCCTGGCTCCAGCTGTGCCGGGAGCGGGGCAGCAAGTTCTGGAGCTGCAAGGCCACCCACCGGCAGGTGCCTACCTCCCCTAGTGCCCCCGGCGAAGACCAAGTCATGCTCATCTTCTATGACCAGCGCAAGGTGCTGCTGTCCCAGCTGCACCCGCCCACAGCCCTGCCTGACCACCAGGCTGGGGATGCCACGGCCAGCACTAGGGGCCTGGCTGCTGTCTTCGACACAGTGGCACGAAGCGAGGCACTCTTCCGAAGTGACCGGTTTGATGAGGGCCTCGTGCGGCTGAGCCACTGGCAGTCAGAGGGAGTGGAGGCCAGCATTCTCGTGGAGCTGGCCAAGCAGGCCTCGGGGCCCGTCTGCCTGCTGATGGCCTACCTGCTGTCACTCATCTCAGCTGCCAGCACCTGTCGGTAGGTACCCCTGGGGCCAGGGTAGGAAGGAGTCAGACTCCTAAGTCCTAGGCCCACCCCCTCAGTGTGAAGGCCCAGACAGGGCCGCTCGGAGGCTCATGGCTGTCCTCCACACTTCAGCTTTCCCATATTTCCTCTCCTAGTATCTCAGAGGGCGTCCTGGTGGTGGCTGCTGTTCTGGTGCCCCGCACTCCTGAGGAAGAGCCAGGCTTCCTGGCAACCTCAGCGATTGCGTAGGACCCACAGGGTAGGGGTACTGGGTGAACCTCAGCTCCAGCCCTTGAGAGGGAGGTGAGACAATGGACAGACTGGGTTTTGCTGGCTGAGGGCTTGTGTACCCTGCCTGGGAGTTATTCATCCTCCTAAACCAGTGATGGCGAACCTATGACACCTGTCACCTCTGACACACGAACTCATTTTTTTGGTTGATTTTTCTTTGTTAAATGGCATTTAAATATATAAAATAAATATCAAAAATATGTCTTTGTTTTACTATGGTTGCAAATATCAAAAAATTTCTATATGTGACACGGCACCAGAGTTAAGTTAGGGTTTTTCAAAATGCTGACACGCCGAGCCCAAAAGGTTCGCCATCACTGTCCTAAACACATTAGGCCCGCCCACTTCCCTGTCCCCAGCACCAGCAGGAGAGACAGCCCTGGAGGCTGTGGGGGTGTATCCGCTCACTGACAGTCATGGGTGTGGTGTGGTGGTCTCCAGCCTTGGCCACTCTGGAATCACCTGGAACACTCCTGGCTGCAGGCCTGGCCAAGGGATTTATAAAAGCCCCTAAGGGCCCTGGGGAATGTGGGGCAGCACCAGGGAGTTCTGGCTGGGCTGTAGGGGCCCCTCTCACGGTGATAAGCCGTCTCTCTGGTGGGGGAGCACCCCCTCCCCTTAGGTCTAGGGGTTTAAGTTGTCTGGTTTGGGGACTGACCTTGCCTGCTCATCAGGACAAGGGCCTGTTCTGGCAGAGAGACCTTGGCAGCTGTGTGTGGACACGCCTTAGATTGTGGAGGCTGCAGGGAATGGCGGGTTTCAGAGCTTCATGATTTCCTTGGAATGAAGTATGTGAAAGTATGTCTGGGCCTAGCTACAATTTTGGGGAGAGAAGGTTCTTAGCTTTTAACAGCTTTCAAAGGACCCAAGAAAGGTTAATGACTACCCATGTGCCCCAAATTTGGATTAACCCATCAGTCAGATGTTGGTCAAGGACTGGTGGTGGTTATGGATGAGTCATGGCCATCACCGTGCAGTAGTGAAGTCCCTTGTTTCCCCGGGGCAGGCCCAGGGGTGCTGTTGGGGCCTAGGCTGCCTAGGGCTGGTCTGAACCCTGGGGAGACTGCTGTGCAGGCAGGGGTCTGTGCACACAGTGCGAGGCCACCTTCCATTTGATTGGAGTTGGTGGGGAGGGGGCAGGAGGTATGCTGAACGCGTTTCATTTCTTTCTCTCTTTTTTAAATCTTTTTTTTAAAATATAGTTTTATTGATTTCAGAGAGGAAGAGAGAGAGAGAGAGAGAGAGAGAGAGAGAGAAACATCAATGATGAGAGAGAATCGTTGATCGGCTGCCTCCTGTACGGCCCCTACTGGGGATTGAGCGCGCAACCCGAGCATGTGCCCTTGACTGGAAACGAACCCAGGACCCTCCAGTCTGCAGGCCAATGCTCTATCCCACTGAGCCAAACCAGTTAGGGCCATTTATTTCTTAATTTATTATTTTTTTCATTTTTTGGATTTGGTCATAGCTCATTGATTGGAGATGAAGCCTTTAAACTTTCAAGGTTGGACCTCTTCCTTCTGAAGAGTCCAAGTGCGGCTTGTTGGTGGCTCTGTATTGTGCGCCAGCCCTTTCTCTTCCCCTGCCGGCAGCAAGGTTGTGAGTGGAAAGGGGCTCTGGGCATGGCTGAGTTGCAACCCAGCACTGTCTTCATCTTTGCTTGCAAGCGTGTTCCCTCAACGTTTGAATGTCTGTGGGAGTGTCTCAGTGCTTCCTTTGCCTGGAGAGAAGTCAGTCCCATTGGGAGTCCAGGGCAGCCCAGAGACCCTTGACGAGGATACCCCATCCAGCACGGCATGGCGCTGGGTGACAGTACCGTGCTTTCTCTCCACTTCCGGGTGCACTTGGCCTGGAATCAGCTCTTTGTGAGATGCTCGGGCTCCCAGTTAATGGTTGTGAATGTGCCATGAGCCCCACTGGGCTGCTTATCTGGGCCCTCCCACCCGTGTTCCTGCCCTGCTGAGTTCACAGTGTGGCCATCGATGTTTGGTGCCACCAGGGACTCCGGCTGAGCCTGGCTTCCTGTCTGCACAGTGAGGCGTGTTGGTAACACTGAGGCAGCCCTTGCTCCCTGGCAGGCAGGAGAGCCCAGGAGGAGCTGAAGGCCCATCCATCTCTGCTCCTTCACAGGGTATTCAAGCTGTGGCCACTGTCCTTCATCTGCAGCAAGCTCTCCACGTGTGAGCAGCTCAGGCATCGGCTGGAGCAGCTCACGTTCATCTTCAGCACCCAGAAGGCCGAGAATGCCTCCCAGCTGATGAGGTTCGGGGCCTTCCCGGGGTCTTCTCGGCAGCGGCCAGATGTGCCATAGGCTAAGCCCCTTCCCCATCCCCTTCTCTGCACCAGACCCACCCTCGCTGACCCTTTCTGGCCAGGCCGCCCTCACCGCCCACTCCTTTTGGACCCCTCCTTCCAGGAAGGCCAACACGCTTGTCTCCGTGCTCCTTGACGTGGCCCTAGGCCTCACGCTGTTGTCCTGGCTCCATGGGAAAGACCGCATTGGGCAGCTGGCTGATGCCCTTGTTCCCGTGGCTGATGTGAGTTGGATGGGGTGGAGCCAGGTCTAGACTCCAGTCCCTGTTTCTGGGGGCTGGGGGGGGGGGGCTTCCTGGGGGCAGCAGAGGCCCCTCAACCAGCTAGAGCAGCTCTTCCCCTCCACGTTTTGTGGCCACAAGAGCAATCCTCACTGACCCTAGACCAGTTCCCTAGGAGCTGTGGAGACTTGGATCTGCCAGGTGCCCACCTCCCCACGCTGGGTCAAATTGCAGCTCCTGGCTTCTAGCTTCTCTTCCTGAAGGTGGCTGTGTGTGGGGGGGCCACCTTGTGGTCAAGGCTTTTAGGGGAGCCCACCTCCCTGGGCCTGGCCCAGTGTCCTAGTGTTCCTGTTGCTGCCCCCAGTGCATGCCTTTCTGCTCTCCTGACTGCCTTTTAGGTTGGGACCACTGCATGCTCAGCATCATGAAAACCTGTGTGTTCAGGGCTGTCTGTGCGCGGTTGAGCTCTGGCCTCCCATCCTTCAGTGGTCACCTCGCTCCCAGCATTGGTTCTGTAGTTCCCATGCTGAGAGCCAGAGGTACCAGCTCATCTGCTATGCTCCTGGACTTGCCCTGCACATCTGGGCAATGTTTCCGGGGCTCGGGTGCTACTCCCCTCCTCCCTGCCACATCATCCTTATAGGGTTCCCCCTGCTGCATTCAGCTTCCCTGCCTGCCTTCCTCAGAGCCAAAGACCCTGTCACTTCTGTTGGGAGCTTGGCTTCCTGGTTAGGGCAATCCCTCTGGCCTCTTAAGCTACCCACCAGCCTCTTCAGGGACCTTCTGTGACTGAGGCCTGACTGGGTGGCCCTTGTGGGCTCAGCCTCCTCTGGCCATCATCAGCGTCCAGCGTGGTTGTTTACTGGGCCTACTGTGGCCAGACCGGACTCTGTGGGCAGGAGCCCTCACAGGCTGAGTGTCCGTGGCTTCTCAGAGTGGCCCAGCTTAGAGGAAGGAGAAAGGAGAGTCTGGGGGCTGGGAAAGAGGCTTGGCTACTTTGCCTGCTCTTCTGTGCTCTGCCTGTGGCCAACTTCACCCTAGACCCCCTTTCTGCGAAACTGCTCAGAAATATAAATATTTAATTGAAAAATGAAAGCCTCTTCCTGCTGCCGAGCTCTTATCCTTTAAATATTAAATAAGCTCTATTTATAAAGAATGTTCTGTTCCCCTTCTCACTGCTCCTGATACGGCTGAGGCCTTCACACAGGGTTGGGAGAGGCCTGCAAGGCAGGTGGGGTTGTGGGTAGGGATGGTGGTGGTGGCATACCTCTGACTGTGATGCAGGGATGTCACTACTGTGGCCACAGCATTGGCTGAGAGTCCTCAGGGCCTGCCCACTGGAGCTGGCATGGCACACGGACATTGGCTTTCCTCCTAGGGCAGCCGGACACTCACTGGTCAGCTTCATTGCTTGCTGGTGAGGGTCCCTGTGCTGTCTCTGGCCCTCACTCGACATTGATCTTGACTCTGGATCCCCATGTATCCTTCCCTTTAGGGGACCCTCCCATCCTCCTACCTGCTACCTGGGCCCCTGACAGGCTGGACACCTTCTCCCTCACCTGAGGTCATCCACCCAGAGCAGGCCCAGGCCTCTGCTGTGGCTGGTGGTGGGGTGGGTCCTTGGTGGAGGAAGACTGGGTTGGGCCCACAGGCTCCCCCTACAAGGTTCACAGTGAGCCTGGGTCTGTCCCATATCCTGGAGTCTAGGGCTAAGGGCTTCTGTGGGTACAGTGGCCAGAGTGGTGAGATGGGGCAAGGATGCTTTATTCTGAGGTTGATTCCCATCAGGGGCTACCTGTCCAGAAGGCCAGGGACAGACTGTTGGCATCATAGGTTGTGCCTCTCAGCCCCGAATCCCAGAATATCTGTGAAGAGGGGTTCCATGGCCAGACAAGTGTGGGAAATCCCATGTACCCATCATGATAGAAGATGGCAGTCCAGACACCTGGAGAAGGGAGCCCGGGCTACCTCTGCCTGCACAGACGGGCTGGCCCAGTTTGTGGACAGCATGCCCCTGTGTCCTCACAGTGGGTGGCCGAGGAGCTGCAGCACCTGCTGCAGTGGCTGATGGGCGCACCTGCCGGGCTCAAGATGAACCGGGCACTGGACCAGGTGCTGGGCCGCTTCTTCCTGTACCACATCCACCTATGGATCAGTGAGTGCTGGGGGTGGGTGGGCCATGGGACTTCCCAGGGATCCCTGACTTGGCTCCTAAAGCCTGTGCCCTCAGGGACACAGGCCCTGGTTGAGCAGGGCAGTGGGGCCCAGGCCTGGCACCATCCCCTTGGTCCCTGCTTCCTACCCTCCTGGCGTCCAGTGTGTGTGGAGCCCAGCTGTGCTAGGCTGGCTACTCTACTGAGGGATGGCCAGTGGCATAGTCTGTCACTCACAGTTTCCAGAAGACTCAGGCACCATCCTCATTGAAGACTTATGGGGGACCAGGACCTTCTTGAGCACCCCCTCAGGGCTGACCCCCCTCCTGCCAGGCTACATCCACCTCATGTCCCCATTCATCGAGCGAATCCTGTGGCACATGGGCCTCTCAGCCTGCCTGGGCCTGACAGTTGCCCTGTCCATCCTGTCGGACATCATCGCCCTCCTCACCTTCCACATCTACTGCTTCTATGTCTATGGTGCCAGGTGGGTGTGTGCTCCCCACCCCTGTAGGCTGGCCCAGTGCAGCCCTCCATACCCTGGGCACCACAGACAGGCCCTGAGGTTGGGTGGCTACAGGGGTGGTGCAGTACCCAGACCCAGTCCTGATGGCGCCCATGTCCCGCAGGCTGTACTGCCTGAAGATCTGTGGCCTTTCCTCACTCTGGCGCCTGTTCCGAGGGAAGAAGTGGAATGTTCTGCGCCAGCGGGTGGACTCCTGCTCCTATGACCTGGACCAGGTATTGAGCAGGATGCAGGGGAGGGTGCACCCTGACCTCAACTGGCCAGTGTGACCTCCCAGCTCCAGTCCAGCCAACCCCTCTAAATGGGCCTGGCCAGTGCAGCTGCTTGGGCACCATGAGGAGGCAGCCTGCTCCTGTCCTGCAGCTCACTTGCCACAGGGTCGGCATCAACCCCGGGGGACCTGGGGGGTCTGCAAGATGCAGGGTCATGTGGGGCCCTCAGGCAGTGCAGAACCTTATCCCCATGGGAGGTGGACCCTGCTCTCAAGAGGCTGCTGGGCCCTAGGGAGTCTGGTCAGCAGGAACTAGGAGTGACGTGGCAGTGGGCCCTAGACATGACCCTAGGCACGGGACGCTGGAGGTGACCCAGGCAGCGGGTTCCTGGTTCTGACATCCCATTAGCTTGCTCAGACCTAACACATGGAACCTGAGTGCTGCCCTCCAGGGCGTGTCTTTTACTGCATGATTTTTACAACCCTTTGTCTTCGGTGTATGTGGCTGTACACCTTACTGGCTGGTCCTCTCTCTGCCTCCAATTCCCATGCATCACTGAGTCTGGAGGGCATGCATTCATTCCCCCCCAGTGCTGGAGAGAGCTTTCATCAGCAGGCTTTCATGAGTTGTCTCAGGAAGCCAGTGTCCTACTAGCAGGCATCCCCTTTCTGCTCAGTTATAGGGTGGGCTTGGTGGGGAGGGAAGCAGGGGGCTGTCCCCAGTGTGAGCTCCAGCTGATGCCAAGGGTGCCTTTCTCCTGGCAGCTGTTCATTGGGACTTTGCTGTTCACCATCCTGGTCTTCCTGCTCCCCACCACGGCCCTGTACTACCTGGTGTTCACCCTGGTGAGCTATGGGGGACTCTGGGCATGACACCTGGCTGAGGGGCCTTGCCCGCAGTGCTTAGAGTGGTCACTGCCAGATGTGCCTGCCAGCCTGCAGTTATGGGCAGGCTGTAGGCCATATGGGGTATGGCTGTTCTAAGCTCTCTGGGCAGTGTGTGCTGGGCCCTAGAGGGGTTCTACCCTGGGGGCCATCACCCACCGCTCTGGGACACTTAGCTGGGTACAAGGAGGACAGGACCCAAGGTGGGCAGGTCATGGTGGTGGTCTCCCCATGTCTGGCGTGGTGGTGGGGACTCAGAAGGAGGGGAGCAGCACCCAGGTGACCTGGGCCGAGGGGCCAGTGATTCATTTCCCTGGATCAGAGTGCCATCTCTTCTGACCTTGCGGGAGGGCCAACCTCTCCTGCCTTCTGCTTCCTGCCTCCTTGTGCTTGCGTCTCAGGTTTGGTCCATGATTAGTGCCCTCCTCAGAGTGGGATACATGCTCTCCCAAGGCTCTCGAGTCCCTGGTCACCCTTCACTGTGGCCCAGAACCCGTCAGACTGCTCTGCTCTGGCCATGATCCTGGCTCAGAGGCCCTGAGCACTGTCTCTGCTGCAGCTCCGGCTCCTGGTGGTCACTGTGCAGGGTCTGATTCATCTGCTCGTGGACCTTATCAACTCCCTGCCACTGTATGCGCTCGGCCTGCGGCTCTGCCGGCCCTACAGACTCTCAGGTAGGTCTGTGCTGGGTGGGCAGGCACACACCTGTGGGCCCTGCAGAAACACCAACTGCACCATGTGTGCCTCCTGCCTGGAAGCGGTGGTGTGCATGGGGTGGGTGGGAAGGGAGGACAGAGACCCCTGGTCCCAGGCCGTCTGCTGGACCAGTTGCCTGCACTGAGCTGGAGGTAGAGGGCCCAGCTGGTGCTCAGGTTTCAGAGGCCACAGTGGTGATACTTCCTTTTTTCACCCTTTTCTGTGACAAGTGTGAATATCTGCCCTGAGTCTGTCCACAGTGATGTAGGTAGCACCTGCATGTGGCTCAGAGAAGATGTACTCGTGTGGTTGTGTGGGGCTGTGTGTGCCTGCTGGTAACTCAGTTTTGGAGGCAACATGCCAGGATGGAAGATGCTGGGCTGGCCAGACAAAAATGTACTCGTACCTGGTACCCAGCAGACCACTGTCTGCTGGGACAGCGCCCCTCCTCCCAGCTGCCCCGGCCATCCCTTGTGCAAGTGGCTGCCCATTTTTATGCTGATACTAACCACTGGGTTGGCCACATGCCCCTAAGGGGAGGCTGTCCCCACCAGTTGGTCATAGGGTTGTGGGTTGGTGTAGGGGCTTTGAACACAGGGCACTTGGAGATTTCTAGCACAGCCCCTGTCCAGCAGTTGTTCATGTGGCCCCCAAGTTGACCACAGTGCCCAGGAGGCCCTGACCCCAGTTTGTAGCTGGGCAGCTTGGGACACACCCGAGAGCTCATTGTGGCTGCTCTCAGCCAGCTCAGAGCCAGAGGATGTGAATATGAGTGTTCCACGGGTTTTGGACTTAAAGTCTGTCTGCTGGATGCCCTAAACCCTCTGTACAAGGCTCTCCCTACAGATGGCCAGGCTAGGGACCCATCTACTGTGCTGCCAGGTTCACTCAGCCCCCAGCCTGCACCTCAGAATGCCAGGACAACACAAGTGGAGAGACCAAGACTTGGCACCCTCCTCCCCCATACCCTGGCTCACTGCCAGAGTAGAGTTGTTTTAACTTCACATTAAAGGCCCCAGATGCCGCTGTCTCCTCTCTTCTTCCCTGAATTTGCCTTGGGCCTCTTCATCAAATAATAATTAGCTCCTATTTCTCTTTTCAAAAAACCTTCAGCCTGGGAATGCCCAGGGGTGGGTGTCCAAACTGCAGGCCAGGGGCATGGTAGGTCCCAGTTGGCCACACACATAGAATTTAGAAGACATTTAGATGCCAGTAGGACGGCCGCCACCCAGCAAGTGCCCGTTTGCTCTGTGGGAAAACCCACGTCTCATTTGGAAAACAGCACAGGCTGTGCTCCACTGCTAGCCAGACACTCAGTTTTTCCTCAGTGGATTTGTGCAGGAAGCTTTGATATCGGCCCAGCAACACATTCAAAGAGGCATATGGGAAGGACAGGCGGGGCAGACGAGCTCAGGCAGCCCTCAGAGTGCTGCCCAGAGGTGAAGGGGCCTCCACCGCCAGAGCTCCTCTGTCCACGCTTTCTCTGCTGACGGAGGAGGAGGACTGATGGGGGCTGTCTTCTGGGCCCTGGGAGCCCTGGAAAGCCACTCTCCTCCTCAGGAACACCTGCTCTCCTTCTAGCTGGCGTGAAGTTTCAAGTCCTGGAGCATGAGGCTGGCAGGCCCCTCCGCCTCCTGATGCAGGTAAGGCCTCTGCGTACCCCTCAACTGCTGTCTGTGGACAGATCCCTCTCCTTACCCCATGATGCTGCCCATGTTCCTGGGCAGCTGGGATCAGGCCCCTCTTTGCTGCCCTGGGTTTAGAGCATCATGGGCCCAGGGTAAGGTACAGGCAGGAGGGCCCAGCAGAGCTGAGGGGTACAGCCCAAAGGGAGACTTTCCCACCCCCAAGGCCTCTCTGCACCGTGACCATCTCTGCCTGGAACCTTCCCCAGTAGGGCCCATGGACAAGATCCCCTGCACTGTCAGATGCATTTGGCTGTCTAGGGCTCCTGCCTACTTGGCTATGGGTCCCTGAGTCCTGCCCTGGGCTCCAAAAGCTCTTGTTCCAGGCAGAACAGCACAAATTTGGTGAAGGCATCAGAACATCTGTTCTCTGTTGGACTCTTCTATCTGAAACAGTCTTGAAGCCCCAGGCCTTCAGGAGGGAGCAGGCTACTTGCCAGATGACCCCCCCTCAGATGATTCACTGGGTACCAGTGTTGGGTCCAGGCTGGTGGGGTTGGCCTGAGGGTCACTGGGAGAGGTCAGATGCGGAGGCAACCAGTGCCCTGTGTGGTTTTCTCGTGTGAGGTGTGTCCCTGAGAAGGCTCCTGGGAGTTCCCTGAGTCCTGGGGTGGAGGGGTCTGCACTCGGCCAGCCCAGTCCACTCTCCTCCCTGCAGCCTGCTCAGAACAGGTCATTCCCTCCCAAGCTGCTCATCCTACCCCATGGACCACAGGCAAAAGCACATCTGGCACAGAGCTGGCCCCAGGGATACCCCCAACCCCCTGTGAGGGCTTTGAGGCCTAGAGAGCTCAAGCCCCAGGGAGTTGGGGGCTGACTGCTACCCTTGTGCTTCCAGATCAACCCCCTGCCCTACAATCGTGTGGTACACACCTACCGCCTCCCCAGCTGTGGCTGCCACCCCAAACACTCCTGGGGTTCCTTGTGCCGCAAGCTGTTCTTCGGGGAGCTCATCTACCCCTGGAGGCAGAGAGGGGACAAGCAGGACTGAGGTACCCGGCCACCAGCCTGCCCAGCACCGTTGCGCGACATGGTCAGCCCTCAACCCTGCCAGGGTGGTGTTGACTGTCAGGTAGCATGTGGGCCTGCACTCTACCTTCCCTGCCCCCTGTTCATCTGGGACCACTGCAGGCCCCACCGGCCTTGCCTGTCATATCCTTCCAACTATGAGGTTGAATTTGAGGTCATAGGGGTGGCCAGCCTGGTCAGCTGGCCTGTGCTCCAAAATGAGCTCTGTTTGCCTCAGGACGCACTTCCAATCTGCTGTGATGGCACTGTTAGCCCAATGCCCCTAGCCCCCCACGTCTACCCAGGAGCCCCACCCCCCTGACTCTCCTCAGACCCAGACCCTGTCCAGGAGGGATTTGCAGAATCCCACCTCTGCCCACCGTATCCTTTCTCAGTGGGGTGAGCTGACAAGTCTGGCTGCTCCCTGGTGGTCCAACTCTGGCATGGGTGGAGGGACTCCCCCAGGTTGCACTCAACACTTCCTGAGACTTTGACCCCCCCCCAAGCATCTCCTTCCTTGGGGGTTTTTCTGCAGATGCACTCCTGGGTCCCTGACACCTCCCAGCTGCCTCAGTGGAGCAGTGGCCAGTATGGGGGATCCAAGCAACCACCCCTGGCCCAAAACAACAGCCCCAATGAGGCAGGACCCTCCAGGAAGTTGGATGGCAGTACTCCTCATGCCCTAAATTGCACAGTGTTAATTGTGATGCTCCCTGGCAAGATTGCTTTGCAGGAGGAGCCAACCACATGCCTTTGAGAATCCCTGTGTGAAGCCAGGCCATATGGGGTGCTCGGAGCTGCCTTGCTAGAAACTGAGTGCCCACCCAGTTGGCTGCCCTGTTCCTGCCACATGCCTGCCCTGTGTCCCTGCAGGAACAGCCCCTTTGGCCAAATCTTCCATCTCCCCTCACTGGCTTCTTGCAGAAGCAGGCAGCTCCTGGGCAGATGCTTCTGTAGCCCCTGGGGTGGGGTCCTGGTACTGCATCTGCCTGCCGGCTGGCTACAGAATCTGTGTGGGTGTGAGCCACAGAATCCCCAGGGTGAGGAAACCTGAAGATATGGCATCACACGCGTGCCATAGTCAGGGGCTAGGGGTTGAGGCAGTACTTCCTGTCCATTGTGGGCACTCAGAACTGTCCACTTCTGCCACCCACACTCCTTGGGTACCGATCATAGTGGGGGCCCCTATGGAAGTCCTCACCAGCCCAGCATCTGCTGGGATAGATCCTGGCTCAGTCTTTCTCTGATGTGACATTAAAGATTCATGTGTTTGAGTGTGATGCTCTGCCTTCTCATGTCCTGTGTGCAATGGGTCTGGGGGGCTTTCTTCTACTGGGGTGGTCAGACATCTGGTTCCCATTATTTGTTCTAAGATGTCTACCACACCTTTTCTGGTGATGCCAAGATGGGGGCACTGGGCACCCTGTCTCTTGGAGCAGGACTCTGCAGGCCTGGTGAGTGGGTGTATAGGCTCTGGCCCTTAAAGATGTCCCAGTGTGGGTGGGTGGACCCAGGACCACTTGCTTTCTGGTTTTAGCCTTGCCCTTGCATGGGGGTCTCCCACAGCCGGGGTGCAGGCCTTCCTGCTGTTGAGGGGTGAGCTACTCCTGGCTCTGATGAATATGTCATCACCTGAAACTGGAGGACTCTGCACAGGCACTCCCTGACTGTCCCACAGCCTCCCGGAATCCTCAGGTGGCCTCTTCTGCATCTGTTGTCTTGGCTGTGTAGGGAAGGGACTGGCCCAGAAAAGTCACTCAGCAACTCCCAGTCCTGCACCTTCACCCCAGAGGTCCCACATGGGTCCTGGTGGGCAGGGAGTGCGCCCCCAGTGCCTGCTGAGAACAGCCCCGCAATTGTATTTCTGGAAGGTGCTGAATTGTCCCCACTCTCCCTGGCCAACCTGCTCATCCTTTGCCCACTTTTGTCGCTTTACTCCTCCTGCCAGGGCTCCCGTCAGGTGAGGGTCCTGCTATGTGACCCAGACTACTACAAGATGGTAGCCACATCACAGGCCAGCCTGGCAGCTGTCACCCTCTGTGCCAGGTGCTGGGCTACCTGCCCATTTCCTGAGTGACCGCTCTGGTGTCAGGCCTGGTTCTTGCCAGATGGACACAGAGAGGTTTTTGGCTCTGTCCACCTAGGGGACTTTAGTGGGGCCTCTCCTTGGCATCAAACCTGGGCCAGGGTTTCTAGAGCAACTGAAACCTTTGTGGGTGCTCCCAGAAAGCCTGCGTACAGAGCTTCAGGACCAACGTCTATTTGCCCCATTGGTTAAACCCTAGATATTTCTCAAAGGGGAGGGCTTGGACTACAGCAGAGAGGAATGTGGGTCTCCTGGAGAGGAGGGGCAGAGGCAGCCTAGACCTCTCTCCCCACCCTCCCTACCTGAACAGAGGCTGGGTCTGGAGGCCTGGGCCCATCGTGCCCAGAGCCAGTGGGTGTGGGAACCACAGGGGAGACAGTTCCTGGGCCACTTCAACTACCCAATGTGCAGTGCCTGATCCAGGACTGCAAACAGATCTGCTTCATCCTTGGCCTGAGGTCCCTCAGTGGTTGGGATGCTGTCCTGTCCCTTCCTCAGTCCCTAGGCCAGGCCTGGCACTCAGTGGGCCCCAGATGTCCTTGCACAAAAGTATGCCGATGAGGGGGAAGCCAGCTACTCTGTCCACAAGGCCTCCTGGGCACCAGATAGTGGGACCCCTCTGGCAATCCTTCCTCAACTGGACCCTATGGGTACCTTTTTGTTCTGAGGCTGGGGGTTCTGAGGTGCAGGATCTCAGCAAAGGACCTGAAGCCCCTGACAGGTCGCCTAGGCCTGCTTCCAGAATCACCCCGTGGAGAGACTCCCAACCTACAAAGCAGGAATGGCTGCACCTGCTCCACAGGCCTTGCTGGGGAAGGTCAAGTCAGAAGATGTGCATGCTGAGCCCACTTCTGCATTTTGTCCTGACGGAGAACCAGACAGCAGGGCCTGCAGCTGCTGGAGCCCCTTCAGGGGAGTTCCTGAGCGGTAAGAAGGCGCTTTTGATTGAAATTCTCTGGAAAGGTGATAATAGCTTCTCATCTACAGAGCATCCAGTCTCTGGAGAGGGGACTGGGTGACTTCAGAGCAGGGAGTGGGCAGGGCAAGGGAGAGGCAGGCTCAAGGCTGGGCACAGTGATGCCTGGCCTGATGACCCCAAGGGCCCTTCCTGTCCTGCCAGGTGGAGGTCAAGGGTGAACAAGCACTAGCTGCTGGCTCCCCCTGTGCTGCAGCAGTCAGTGCTCAGTCCCTGGCCCCTCTGCCGACCCAGTCCCCCACCTCTGACCAGCTGAGGGCCAGTAAGACTGCCTGCTGGCTGTTTCTGTAAACACTGTGTGTGGGGGTGGATGTGCCTTCTTCATAAACACGGGAGGCTGTGTCTGCTGTAATCCAGGGACAGCCATTTCTGGCGGAGGGGACATGGCCTGAAGAAGCGCACAAGCAGGACCGTCAGGGTTCCTAGTGGCCCTGCCCACCCCTGGCTAGCCTCTGCCATCAAGTGTCCCCGCTTCCTGCTTCCCCAGAGAGCCACTCACTGAAGGCAAGTGAGGAAGGCCCAGGCACTCATCAGGGGCTGCCCACCAAGCAGAGGGACCTGCTCCTTAGGAAGCCTCCCCAGGCACCACGCCAAAATGAAAAGGCAGCATCCACAGGGCTCACAGTCCAGTAAAGGCTGTGCGGCTTTGGGGTGGGGGTCACTCAGTGGTGCTGCCCATGGAAGGGTTTGCTCTCTGTGAAGTCCACCTGCTATTGAAGGCATGGCGTGGATGCAGTGACCCCTTGGGAGGAAAGTTCTTACTGCCCATTCCTCGCCTGCTGGAAGGACATGCTAGCCAGGCTGCCCTCGGTGCAACACACTGGGGCCTGGTTGCTGTGTTGCTCCCTCTGCACAGTTCTGATGTTTAGGAAGCTCTAACTCTCATGTGGCTTCTCCCTAGCCCACACCACTCTGTGCCTGATCTAGTAAGGGCTGCACTTGGCTCCGTTTTGACAACTTTTATTATTTGTTTAAACATGTATTAAGGGATATTTTACATATAAAGTCAACCCATTTTGAGTGCACAATTGAATTATTTGTAGTAACTTTACAAAGTAGTACAACTATCACCAATTTTATTACTTTTAATATGTTTTATTGGTTTCAGAGAAGAAGGGAGAGGGAGAGAGAAATAGAAACATCAATGATGAGAGAGAATCCTCATTCAGCTGCCTCCTGCACACCCCCTACTGGGGATCTAGCTGGAACCTGGGCATGGGGATGTGCCCTGACTGGGAATCAAACTGTGACCTGTTTCATAGGTCGATGCTCCACCACCAAGCCACTCTGCCGGGCCAACTACCACCAATTTTAGAACATTTTTATCACCCCAGAAAGAAATCCATCCCCCTTAAGCAGTTGTTCCCCACATCTCCCTACCTCAGGCTCTGGCAACCACTAATCTACTTTGCCTATGGATTTGCCTATTCTGGAAGTTTCACATAAATGGGTACTTTATTCCTTTTTTTCCCAGTACTTTATTCCTTTTTATAAATGAATATAGACATTATGTGGATAATACCACATTTTGTTTATCCGTTGATCTGTTAATGGATGTTTTGGTTGTTTCCACCTTTTGATGATTGTGAATTATGCTGCTGTGAACATTCATATACAAATTTTTGTGTGGACATGTTTTCATTTCTCTAGGAGTAGAATTGCTGCATTGTAAGGTACTTTTATGCTTAACTTTTTGAGTTACTTGTAAATTACATGTCATATGTGAATATGGTCTCATAAAATGGTCATCATTTGTAGGTTGGGAGCCTGTCTACGGCGTGGCTCAGTTGGATGGAGCATCATCCTGTCCACCAAAAGGTTGTGGGTTGGATCCCTGGTCAGGGCACATATGGAAGGCAACCAATTGATGTTTCTCTGTCAGATTGATGTTTCTCTCTCTTTCTCTCCTTTCCTCTCTCTAAAAATCAATAAAAACGTATTCTCCAGCCCTAGCCAGTTTGGCTCAGTGGAGTGTTGGTCTGAAGACTGAAGAGTCCAGGTTTGATTCTGGTCAAGGGTATGTACCTCGGTTGCAGCTCTGGTCCTGGTCCTGGCCCTGGTCGGGGCACGTGTGGGAGGCAACCAATCAATGTGTCTCTCTCACATCGATGTTTCTCTCTCTGTGTCTCTCCCCCTCCCTTCCACTCTTTCTGAAAATCAATGGAAAAATATCCTCAGGTGAGGATTAACCAAACACACACAACATATCCTCTGGTGAGGATTAAAAAAATGTCATAAATGAAGAGAGAGTCACCCCCGAGGAAACAATGCTGTCCCTTTGTTGAGTATCCTTCCAGACCTAATCCTACGCAAGCATTCCATTTCTCTATATGTAAATCTAGAATGAGAATGATTGGCTAGGTTTTATTAAGCATAAATGTTGAAATTACACTGGGCATACTGCAGTCATTTGCTTTCTTCTCTTCTCATGTAGGTGCTATCTGCACCTTATGCCACTCACCTGGTTAATGTAATAGTTCCGTCAGTTTCCTGACTTTCATCATCACTGCAATGCTGCCCTGAAATCCTTTGAGCTCCTTTCTGAGGATTTCTCCATGCTAAATCAGATAGAATCATTAGCCAGTCCAACCTCCCTCCCTGAGGGCTGTTCCCCAAGACTACTTGTTTATTCTCACAATTCTCACACCCATATCCTGGCCCACAAACGATGTTGCCAATCTGGTGGGTGAAAAGGGTATTGTTTTACTTTAATTTTCATTTCGAAGAGTGAAAATTAACATCTCCACACATGTTCACAGGCTTCTCATACTTCTTTGCCCATTAGGAAAATTACCCATCCACCCGGTAAACAATCCCAAAGTCCCTTCCTCCTGGAAGCCTCCGTAGTCGTGGGCCCTCCAGAGTCCCCTCACCTGGGCTGACCCGAACTCAGCTGGGCATCTAGGCCCGGGCACGTGGAGGCAGAGTCCTGTCACTCCGCTGCTGGAGCCTGTGCTGCTATCACCCGCCCGCGGAGCCCCCGATTCTGGAACGTTAGACCTTCCCAGCCACGCGCTGTGACCTACGACCTTGCGAAGGACAGACACCGCGGACTGGACCCGCCTGTCAGCTCTCTGAACCCACACGGAAGGGCCGCGCCCACCTCCCAGGCCCAGCCACCGCCCCCCTCGGGCCCACCCACTTTGGCAGCGGAAGTCCCACCTCTCCAGGATCCCCAGTGCTGATTGGCCGCTTTTGCCCGCCCAGGTCACGCCCCGCCACGGGAGGGCGGCTTCCGCGAGTGCAATTCCAGGGGGCCAACCCGCGCTCTGTGGGATCTCTGCGGAAGCAGCCGGCCGCAGATTACTAGGGGGTTTAGTCCTCCCGGACCCAGCCGCGTCACCTCAGCCCGGGGACCGCCACCATCCTGCTCCGGTCCATTGGAAGAAGGGGGCGTATGCAAACAACCTGAAGTTCCAAGCTCCTCATTGGTGAGTGTGTAGTGAAGAGGGCGGGAAATAGGGGGTGGGCTTAGAGGAACGTGATCGACGTGCTGTTGGTCCAGTGGCTCTGGGAGGATCAGCGGAGGTGTCCAATGACGACGTGGAGGGGCGGGAAAAATGATGGTGGGGGCAGTGGGCGGGATTGCTGGTTGTTCCGTGACGCTCCAGTCCTGTAGTGATGCTGACTGACGTGCAGGTAGACCAGTGATTCTTGGAAAGAGGGAGGCGAGTGTCCAATGGCGACAGCGAGAAGGCGAGGCGGCTGAAATCTCCGCAACTCTGTGTGGGGAACGGCGGTGGGGGAGGGGTCGGTCAGCCATGACAGACGTGTACAGAAACCAATGATATCAGGAAAGGGTCGGTGGGCGACCAATGGAGATTGCAGAGAGGTGGAATGGGGCGGTGATGGGGAGGAGTGACCGGAGGCTTTGCTACAATGTGTGGGAAACGGTGGGGGCGGGCGTACGTGAAGGACGTGCATGCCCACCAATCGATGAGGGCGGGCAGGAGGCGGGCGGGCA